TAAGTCATGATTGACAAAAATTCATCAGATTCTTCTATATACCATCTGTTTCTCTGGAAAATTGGATGAAAACCTAATCTGAATGTCTCTAAAACACTCAATGCTCATTGGTCAGTTAAGGATGGCCATTTACGTTACCTGGGAGACGAGAGGGACGGACATGTACACCTGTATTTGTTTTAGACTTTATGAAATGTCACATAGATTACGACCTGATAGTACAGATTGAAGTTCAGTTACTTTAACGGACTTTGCTAGGGTTGATAAAGATTTTTGTACCAGGTATGTCAAGGCTTTATGAAAATATTCAATGTTTCTTGTGATTTTACAGTATTTAATAATATCTATATTCCTTAAATGCCTGCACTTGTCTGCTTAATTTCTTAAACAGACTTGTCTGACTTTAATTTTGGTAAGTGACCTTTACCGATTTGAGGGGTGTTAAGTTGAAAAATAGGTTTGTCTGACCTAATTAAGAACTTAACTTACTGAAACGGTTAAAGCGGTACACTTTACCTGCCCTTTTAATGTAAGTTGGAGTAAGAATCTAATAGTTAAAGGAAATTTTTTTATACATGTTATGCTGCAGGCTTAGTCTTAACCACTTCAGTTCAGGCAGGTTAAAGTCCTTTTTTAATACTTTAACATTCAAGGTTCCCCTTTCCTTTAATTAACTTTTTAAAATTCAGTTCAGACAGGGTTAAGTCCCTTTAATACTCGCATACTAAAATTTATTATAAGGAACTAGCCTGCCTTTAAATTGAAAGTGTCCATAATGATTATTAATTAAAATAAGGTATTTGCCAAGGGAAATTAAATAATTACTTTGCCAACAATAAGATACAGATGTATACAAATATATAATACAAATATACAATATACAGAAAATATACAAACCATTTGCATTGATTAGTGACCTTACTATAAATCCTGAGATTACGCTCTTACAATTTTCAAAACTTGTTTTATTTACATCATTTAATGTAAATAGAAACATTTTGATGCGTTTATATTTCAGCCATGTAATCAATTTGTGATGGTTTAGTCTACTGGGCAAAAACTCGCAAGTAAATTAAATATAATGATTTTAGCTTTCATCAATATTTAAACGAAAATGAATAAGGTTTGAACAGGTTTTATGTGCAATATTACAAAATAGTGTTATGTTTATATAATATAGTTTATATATTCTACATTTTATGTCCAATAATTCGATTGGTTTTCATAAAAGAAACAAAAAACAAATAACAGCTGGGACTGGAAACACAAGAATTTTTAATTGTGGCCTTATGAAGTTTATATCATGGAGGGCCCTCATAAATTTGTTAGATAATATTCAATATTTGGTCCATTATCTGGCCACTTGAAATCTTACATCACTCGGTCAACTTGAAACCTGATTGATTGTACTCCAGGAGTCAGATTTACTAGCGACTGGGGACAACGAAATTGAAAAATAAAGTCGTTTCATGGTGGGATTTACAATGCATTAAATCACACAGATTACCTTGGCAATTTCTCTACATTCTCACTGTTACACCCTGTTTTTTTTTCTTGTTTTTTGGGGTTTTTTGTCATCGAATTAAAATCATAAATTCAATTTGTACTTTGTTAAAGACAAGACGAAGTAATTTAAGACGGTTCGTATATTCTAGTTATAGTTCAGGCAAGAATATAAATACATCTAGTGTGAATAAAATATTTGGACAAAAGCCCAAAGTATAAATTATGTACATTCAGTATTTCAATTTTAACACAGGCATTTTCTGATACAGACAGGCATCATAAGATATTCTTTATCATTTGGGCTACCTTTCAATGATTCCTTTAATTCATGAAGATAATATTCGTGCAGATTATGGCATTACTTCATCAGAACCCATGAGTACTGATTCACCCCACTGAACGTATATGTTATGCCAGTATGCATGGGTTATCGAGGATAACGGATGACATAGAGAATGAGTAACAACTGTTTTGCAACCTGCCCTTGATTATTATTAGAATGAGAAAATCCTGTGTAAATTTAAACTCTTGTCTACAATTTATTATTGTTGTTTTTTACTTACTATTAAAGGTGGTCTTTATACATTGGTGTCTGTTTTTTAGAATTAATCAACTTTTAATTTAATTTTTGTGTCTATAATATGACTATTGTGAATAAAAAAGCAATTTTGTCAAATGATATTTGTGGAGAAGTTGGCAGTTACTTGCAGACAGAAAAAAACAACAAAAAGATTTTTAGTCTTTCCTAGTCTTTTTATTTTAAGACTAATATGTACTGATGTCATATGAAAAAAGGTTGTTATGACAACTATAGCCTGTACTATGAACCCACTACGGGCAAACGATTGAGGAGCAAGCACATGATTCACAGAGGTCACTAACCTCTCCCCCTTATATATCTCCATATATAATAATCAAATCATATATACATGTACATCACCAAAACTTTGTTTCTAAAAATAACTTAATGTCTTGCTGAGGACAAGCAGAGATAGAACTTTGTCATCTTTCAAGTTCGGATCACTCGCAGTTGATTATTTGACAGCTGTCAAATTTGTAACATATCATGACAATTTTCCCCCAATCTCTTCTTATCAGCTATGTATCTTGTTAGTTTGTTTGTTAGCCAAATTAAATAGTGATATATTTGTGTATTCAGCACTAAGGAAATATTTACAAACTTTTCAAACTATAAGACTCTTGTCAACATAGATGGTTTTTACTTCCCCCTTTTGGCGAGTTTTTTGAGGGAAAGTTTGTACCCTTATGAGGTTTCGGGCTTAGTTTGACACGCAGTTTTTATATTTTCAAAACAATTTTTCTTTACTTTTTTTTTCTTGTTTCAAGGTACATGAATAATTGCTCAGGTAGTAGTAATAAGTGCTCATTTTGAAGCCAGTAAAAACACTTGAAAAGCAATTAGATTTGCCCACACTACAAGAAAAAATCTTGTCTCCAGAATGAAATTCTGTCATTGCTTATCTGTGTAAAAATATATTTTTATACATGTGACGTAAGCACAAAAGTTACACTTGTCTATTTTGCACAACTCCAGTCCATTGTTCAAATTCTTAATTCTAATTCTACTTAATTTCAGCCTTTTGGTCCTTTAGTCCTCTATCCTCACTCAATCCAAAACTGGACATGTCCATTGCCCAAATTTGGGTTGATATGGTTAATTTTTGCATATTTATTTCCACCATATTCTTTGATGTAGATGAGAAATCTTGTAACCTGTTACTTAAGCATAAACAGGGTTAAAATGAACCCTACATCATAACTAAAATGAAGTAGTGATACAAGTACCCAGTCAGTAGGTTTTATTACTTTGGAGGTAATTCTTCACAGCAATATAAGGCTCAAATCCCAAGCACAAGGAAAATGACTGCGAGGGGCGAGGGTCACAGGTTTGGTTATTTTTTAGACTGGCGATTTGTTCTTTAAGTTTATAAAGTGTATACATATATGTATAGGGGTCATCTGAGCTGAAACAACTACCTTTATTAGCTTAAAAGATACACATTTAAAGGATTTTTAGTTAGGTTGACACCCAAGACCAATGTAAGGCCAATAGTGGACCAATATTTACAATTCTAAACATCCTGCAATAGCTTGGTCAAGCCAATATTGGAGCAATGTTTACTATTCTAAACATCCTACAATAGCTTAGTAAGGCCAAAATTGGACCAATGTTTACTATTCTAAAATATCTTTCGATAGCTTGGTAATGCCAATATTGGACCTGAATGTTTATTATTCTAAAATATCCTTCGATAGCCTGGTAAGGCCAATATTGGACCAATGTTTACTATTCTAAAATATCCCTCGATAGCTTGGTAAGGCCAATATTGGACCAATGTTTACTATTCTAAACATCCTACAATAATTTGTTAAGGCCAATATTGGACCAATGTTTACTATTCTAAACATCCTACAATAGCTTGGTTATAATAGTCTAAATACAAAGTAAGATCTGTTAGTGAAAAGAAAATAATTAAAGAAATGAAAATCCTTTGATTAAAGAATGAGTTTAAATGAGATTTACTTGATATGAAATGATAGAAGATTGTGACAAGTTTACTGATTTAGTGTCAGTAAAATGAAAGTTGTACAATCCCCCTAGATTTCATCTATAGTGAAAGAAATATTGTATTTATCATATAGGGGCGAAGGCTTATTTCAAGACATATATTTTGAAAGATTTGATTTTGCCAGATTTTTGTGGATTTTTATTAATTTTAAGCATATACCAGTATAATAAATGACTTTTTAAAAGGAGCATAATTTGAATATGTCAAGTAGAAAACATCATTGTACCATCAATTTTCCCTTTTAGCTGAGGGTTTGCCTTTACAGGTTTGAGGCATCAGAATTGCAGCCACCGTTTGACCCTGCTTGATAATAAGAGGCAACTAAATTGGGTTGGGATTATTTGACTTAGTGCATCTCTTAGCTTCAGCAGGTGAGGTGGTTTTGACACCTTGTGTTGCTTAAAGTTTGTAACACCTCAGGTTAGCCAAAATCATCTTTCCAGTTTTGGTGTCATAATTATGACCTACACTGTGTTGGTGCGCCATAAAACCAAACAATACTAAACAAACAAAAACCATTTAATCTATGTCATACTGTTTCATTTTCAGGACATTTTCAATGCTGTACATATGGTATAATGTTACTTATCAAACCACTCTGTCCAATTTACATATTTTATAGTCCAGAAATGTGCAACTTTTTCATTTCATGAAGGTATTCATTATAATTACTTTAATAAGGTTCTCTGATTTCTGCTTGCTCGTCAAATAATAAAAAAAGAGCAGGATCATAGGTCTTCCTCCAACATTTTTGTAAAGGTTTAAACAGTCGCAAACAGAGTCAATGCAAGCTAGAAAACACAAACTATAAAGAAGACATTCATTTTACCTCTCTTTTGTTCTTCACAATACTAATTATTTTGTATCTTAATGATCATGTCGGTTTTTTGTTTGTAATTTTAGGCCAAACTCGCCACAGTTCAACAAGAAAGGGACATGGCAGTTGCCAAATCCAAACAACTTGACGACGAAATTCAGACGTTACGTATTTGCTACAGGTAAGTTATAGTTACCAATCATAAGTTAATATTTTGTTCTGGCTGTACTTCATTTTGTATTGTAAAAATATGATAAACAAGATCATCAAGGAAAGGCGTCGTTCAATGAACGCAGCATGCAATTACAAAAGTAAGCAAGTTATATATTTAAGGTCCACTATAATATATAAGCCCCCAAAATGCTATCATTTTTATTTCTCAGAAACTTTCTTATATTTTGTATCTTAAAAAAGTTTTCAACAAGTTATATATTGGTAATATTGATAAATTGTTTTTGTTCTTTGGCAATTTGTATATTAATACAATGTAATGATTTAGTATTTTGTATGGAAGTCAAAAATACCACTTTGTTACATAATGCTACCTTTATGACACACTGCTTGTCAGCATTACTTTTTTCAGTTGTTTAACATCTAAGATGCTTTAAATACCTAAATATTTTAAACATTATGAACACACTTGTTTCACCTTTCTGAATAAGTTAGAAATTATTGATTTGACTGAGGCATAATGTGCATTTAAAAACAACTATAATAGATTTTTCATATTTATGAGGATTTTTTTTTTGTACTTGAATTTTAGTCATTTGACGGACATGAAATATTAATGTATAGTTTGTTACATGTACATTATTTGATAAAGTAGAAAATCATCATAAGAATTTTTAGTTCTATCTTGAAAAGATCATGTGCATTTATTTCTTTATAATGTCTTTATAACAACAAAAGAACAATCTAAAAAAATTTCATTTAATATATTGTAAAAACCTTTATCTTGTAAAAACAATATTAGATAGCCCAGTGGCAGCAAAATAAATTGTCTGTATTGCCCAGGTTGTCCTATAGCCTGTACATACAAGTGGACATTTTCAAGAATTAAAGACATGTATATAAATATAATACTGACAAGTTAAGAAAAATTTCAGATAAAAATGGACAAGTAAGTCAAAACCAGATTTTGCCGGCCCTGAAGGTTGAATAATTTTCCATTTCAGCTTGCACAAGTCCCTCACCGTTGAAAACACCCACAACAAGTCGCCCAATAACACCGTCGTCTCCGACCAGGACGAGCTGAGAGCTATGAAACAAGAGCTGCAGGCAGTACAGAAAGAAAATGGCCGCCTCGCCTCAGAACTTCGACGTACAACAATTGACAAGAGACAGTTAGAGCAAGCTCTGGAGTCTGTGTCACTTGACAAAGAAAGGTATTCTATACTTACATATATTTTTCCCCATGTCTCCATGACCAAGTCATTTCACCCTTAAATTAATAAATTTCTATAATGAATCTGTCCTGCTTTGAATTTGAAACAGTCCATTCAAAGTTAAAAGGATTTCAATATCAAAATACAAAAATTGAGCTGCAGACTGACCTAGCTCTATACTGGTGGCAAAGGCTGCTCTCTTTTTATGCTCCCCGAAAAAATTTCGGGGGAGCATATAGTCGCCGCCTTGTCCGTCCGTCCGTCCGTCCGTCCCCTTTTTTGTCCGGGACATAACTTTGAAACAACAAGAGGTATCAACATGAAACTTTGTAGGTAGATAGATCTCATTGAGTAGGTGTGCAGTGCACAAGAACCGTAACTCTGCCTTGCCTTATTTTTGAATTATCCCCCTTTGTTTATTTTACACTTTGAAATTTGTCCGGGACATAACTCTAAAAGTATAAGAGGTATCAACATGAAACTTTGTAGATAGATAGATCTCATTGAGTAGGTGTGCAGTGCACAAGAACCGTAACTCTGCCTTGCCTAATTTTGGAATTACCCCCCTTTGTTTATTTTACACTTTGAACTTTGTCCGGGACATAACTCTAAAAGTATAAGAGGTATCAACATGAAACTTTGTAGGTAGATAGATCTCATTGAGTAGGTGTGCAGTGCACAAGAACCGTAACTCTGCCTTGCCTTATTTTTGAATTATCCCCCTTTGTTTATTTTACACTTTGAAATTTGTCCATGACATAACTCTAAAAGTATAAGAGGTATCAACATGAAACTTTGTAGTTAGATAGATCTCATTGAGTAGGTGTGCAGTGCACAAGAACCGTAACTCTGCCTTGCCTTATTTTTGAATTATCCCCCTTTGTTTATTTTACACTTTGAACTTTGTCCGGGACATAACTCTAAAAGTTTAAGAGGTATCAACATGAAACTTTGTAGATAGATAGATCTCATTGAGTAGGTGTGCAGTGGACAAGAACCGTAACTCTACCTTGCCTACTTTTGGAGTTATTGCCCTTTATTCATTTTGACACTTTGACTTTGTCTGGGACATAACTCTAAAATTATAAGAGATATCAACATGAAACTTTGTAGATAGATAGGTCTCATTGGGTTGAAGTGCAGTGCTTAAGAATCATTACTCTGCCTTGCCTTATTTTGAAGTAATTGCCCTTTGTTTATTTTTACTTTTTGACTTTTGTCCTGGACAATACTTAAAAACTATTAGAGATATCAACATGAAACTTTGTAGGTAGCTAGATATAATTGGATAGAATTGCAATGCTTAAAGAACCTAAACAAAGCCTGGTCTAATTATGGAGTTATTGCCCTTTGTTCATTTTTACACTTTACCCGGGACATAACTCTGATATCATCAGGAAACTTTATAGATAGATAGATCTCATTGAATAGAAGTGCAGTGCAAAAAAACATAACTCCGCTTTGCCTAATTTTGGAGTTTTTGCCCTTTGTTCATTTTTTTTATACTTTCCTGTGTCCAGCACCTTCTCGGGGAGCATCACCCGGTTCAACCGGTTCTTGTGGTTCTAGTTAAAAGACATAAATGACTAAAGGTTCTGTTCACATTTCCAAGTTTAAATCTGTTTTGGGTTTTGAATTCTCTCATTGGATTGAAATATTCAGTTATGTCTCAGAAATATGGTTTCTGAAAAATTCCACAAAGTGGTACTTAATGTTGGTCTTCAACCACCAGTTAAACTAGAATGTTACAAAACATTACTGCAATGTGACTTGTAACCTTGACCATTGACCTTGAAAAATTGAAATATTTGGTTTTAAAAAGATTGTGTTATGTCACTTGCAAGTAAGATGAGTAGGATATAAGTTTGTTTACTTTTGTTGCATTAATTGAGCATTTTATTTATATTATTTTAAACAATAATGCATCTTTACAATCTCACTATTTCCAGACTCCGGAGACTTACTGATGTTCTCAAAAGAAAGCTGAACAAACTGGCTGATGAACAGTTAGATGATGCTCAACATTGAAAACCTGACGTCTGCTGCTGCCGCTGCTCTTGTTGTTGTTGTTGTTGTAGTTATGATGGGCCCTACACTACCAATTTTTTTTCCTCTCTATGTTTTAAACATACTTGTCATTATTTTGCTAAATGTTTTCCCTCTTCATTCTTTTTATACTTAAAGTCTTATTCTTCTAAATATTTTCCTCCTTCTACCAAAATATACAAAAGTTCAGAGTTTCTTTTATGAAATATTGCCCTGACAGTACATTTTGGTATTACACAACTAAATGTTTTCCTTCAGCATTACACACATGGGGTGTTACATGGCTAAATATCTCGGTACAGGTGTGTGATAAATGAATGTATAAAAATACTGCAGCCTAATAGATGCGCTGCAGTAAAACATTTGTATATTTATCTTTGGCCTAATTTGCATTTATATTCATGATCATCAGTGGTTGCGTAAATGAAAAGTTCAGGTAGATAAAAATCCCCAATTAATGAATGAATAGGAGAACAAATTCTATCACTATATTTGAATTGATGATTTTGAACTTTAGGAGAATAGAAAAATTAAAATATGATTCGGATTAGTTAAGTTCTTAATCAAATGACGAACATAATTAATTTCATAGTGTAATTTAATAGTGTAATTGCATAGTGTAATTTCAAATCATTATTTCAATCACTGTTCATTATATGCATTAAAACATTTACATAAAAATGTGGGCATTTTAATTTTTTGTAAATTGTTTTTTACTTTTATAACTAGAGGCCTTAATGATTGTAATGAAAAAATTAGTAAGGAATGCTTCCAGTACTTGCCATGTTTAGGTGCATTAGTATAAAATGGTACTTTATCCACTACATTTAGCCATTTACATTCTCCATTACATTCAACCAATTATGTTTATCAGTTACATTAAAACAATTATGTTTATCCATCACCTATAGCCATTTTATGTTTATCAATTATATGAAAGCAATTGTGTTTATCCATTACAGTTATGTTTATCAATTACATTGAAGCAATTATGATTGTCCATCACCTTTAGCCAATTTATGTTTATCAATTACATTTAAGCAATTAAGTATATCCATTACAGTTATGTTTATCAATTATCCATTACAGTTATGTTTATCAATAACATTTAACCAAATATATTTATAAATTCATTAAGATAATCATGTTTTCTCATTCGTGAAGTCAGCATTTTGTAGACATTATACATATCTCGTGCAATATATGCAATACTAACCAATTATATAACAGTAGCCATATTATATATTTCTCTCTGTTTTTATGTAATACATTAATTTTCTTGTATCTTATTACTATTGCTATAGAAGAAGAAAAAAAACTTGATTTATTTTGTAATAAATTGCAATTACATATATTTTTTGCTTACTAGAAGGGAAAAAGTTGATTTATGGGAATTAAGCTTTTGTAAATGCTGTTTATCAGTTTAGGTAAAGGGATTACTTTGCAATTGTAATTTGATCATGACAATTACTTTACATTATTACTCTTGTAAGTGATATGGTACATTTACATATCTCATGTGGATATATATGTATTGACTACTTTTATGTACCATTTATGAGTCAAAATGAATAATTTTCATATTCAATTACCATTATTTTTCTTCTGGGATAGATGAACTTATGAACTGGTAGTCATATATTCCTTGGTGAAATGATTTTTGTAATCGATTACTTTTACTTCCAATGTATAGCAATTAAAAAAATGCACATTTGTTACAATTACATTTATATGTAATGTACAAGAATGTACAAAATTTATATACAATGTAAATAATTGTGTTATTACTTTTACACATTTGAACAACCTGACTGTTTGCAATTTTTCTTTTTCTCTTTTAGATGTTAAGTGCATGTAATGTATTTATTCTATTTATAGATTATATTTGACTGTGATAGTGTAAACATTTGGTTGTAATTGTGTAATATTTTTAAGTTGAATTATGGCAAAAGCTTGTTACTTACGTAAACTTTTCTCAAGTTAACTTCCATATACTTGCCGCTTGTGTCTGAAGGGTTGCCTTTACGGGTTTAAGCATAAGAATTTCAGCCACTGTCTAAGCCTTAGTGATCGTAAGGGGCAACTATATTGGTTCGAATTACTGGAATCTATGCATCTCTAAGAAAATGTGTGCACCATATTTTTCATAATATTAATTATGATATTAATCTTAAGTTTATATGCAGCTGATAAGTTACTTTATCTCTGTAATTACATTTGTTTATTCACAAATTTCTATAAAATTTGTTGGGGATTTTCTTTACTGTTTTTTTTTCTTTGCTAACTGATCTATATCTTGTATGTAATAGGGAAAATGTTGTGCATATAGGGAAATGTTGTGCATATATATTAATGAATATGTACTACAGGTATATAATTATTCAAATTATTACATTGTGTTCCATTAAACAAACTCTTTGTCGGGAAAAAATGTGAAACTGTATTGTCTTCAACTGTCTATATATTTTAAGCACTACACTGTCTAGTTGGTCTGTGTTCTTTTTTTTTTTTTTTTTTTTTTTTTTTGTCTTGTGTTCTGTGCATTTTCTCTTGTAAACTGTTATGACCCTAATCTCAATTATTGTGCTTTTTGTGATGATCTTTTTATGCTAAGTAATGTTATTTCATAATGTTGCAAGATTTTTTTTTATTGATTTTCTTTTACTTGATTTTATTATTATTAAAAAGCATTGAAAGTGATATAAGTTGTACATGTTTGAAGATATTTTTGAAAAAAATAATTATTGACTTGACCTCTGTATAGTGTTACAATCTAAACATAGATCTGTTTGGTTTCTAACTGATAATATGAAAAACCTTGAAACCACAACTAACATTTTTTTATACAGTGTATATTATTTTGACAAAAATTGTAATTTTCTTTTTCTTTTTTCTTTTTAAATTCAAAATGACAAATTTAGTTATTTTATTGAATGTACATTATAAATATTTATACTTTAAACCATGACCTTAAGGTGATATTTAAATTGTATTCTCATTTAATATATTATATTATATTTAATATAATATATTCTGTACTTTTGGTGTCGGACATATTTATTACAAATTCTTACGCTATATGTGCTACTCATTCTTAATGTCTCCATTTGTGTGTGATATTTTTTATTTATTTCAAAATTCTTTGAAATTTTCTTCGTTTTTTTCTTTTTTTCATCAGTTCATACAGACCGTCCTTCAAAGTATTGGCCTGAAATCCAGTCAAATAGACCATCCTTTACATTATATTGCCCTATAATCCAGTCAAATAGATTGTCCTGTACACTATATTGGCCTTAAATCCAGTCAAGTAGACCATCCTTTACAATATAATAGCCTTATAATTAAGTAAAATAGACGGTTCTTTACATTGTTTTGGCCTGAAATCCAGTCAAATAGACTGTCCTTTACATTTATATTGGCCTTATAATCTCGTCAGATAGGCCGTCCTTGCACTATAATAGCCTTATAATCAAGTAAAATAGGCCTTCCTTTACATTATGTTGGCCTAAAATTCAGTCAAGTAGACCGTCCTTTACACTATAATAGCCTTATAATTAAGTAAAATAGACGGTTCTTTACATTGTTTTGGCCTGAAATCCAGTCAAATAGACTGTCCTTTACATTATATTGGCCTTATAATCCCGTCAGATAGGCCGTCCTTTGCACTATAATAGCCTTATAATCAAGTAAAATAGGCCTTCCTTTACATTATGTTGGCCTAAAATTCAGTCAAGTAGACCGTCCTTTACACTATAATAGCCTTATTAGTCCCCTACCGGTTTACCGGAGGGGACTTTAGGTTTACCCTCCGTCCGTCTGTCCGTCCGTCAGTCCGTCCGTCCACAAAACTGGATCCCGCGATAACGCAAAAAGTACTGAAAATATTTTAATGAAACTTGATATATGGATAGATGGCAGTATGGAGATTATGCACGTCTTTTTCTTTTCTTCCTATGTTGAAAATTCTGGTTGCTATGGCAACAAATAGACTGAAAATATGACAAATTTTACACATAAACTGGATCCCGCGATAACGCAAAAAGTACTGAAAATATTTTTATGAAACTTGATATATGGATAGATGGCAGTATGGAGATTATGCACGTCTTTTTCTTTTCTTCCTATGTTGAAACTTCTGGTTGCTATGGCAACAAATAGACTGAAAATATGGCAAATTTTACACATAACCTGAATCCAGTGATAACACAAAAAGTACTGAAAATATGTTTATGAAACTTGACATATGGGTAGATGGCAGTATGGAAATTATTCACATCCTTTTCTTATCTTCCTATGTTGAAAATTCTGTTTGCTATGGCAACAAATAGACTGAATTTCAAGATTTCTGATTCTAGTTTTTAAGTTTTTTCACTCTAAGTTCTTTATTTCTTAAGGTATTTTCTTCAAACTTTAAATATAAGTTGCTTGTCATCAACCACATCATATGTGATAAGGTTTACAACTCTAGCACAAAATTTATCAGAATTACCTCCCTTGAACTTGAAATTTTCATGAAAAAAACATTGATTTTTTTAATAACTTCTTTTTCTGAATGTATCTACTTCAAACTTCATATAAATTGTTTCTTATTGTCACTCAACATTTGTGAGTGTTCAATACTCTAGCAAGACTATTTCCAGAATTATGCCCCTTTTGAACTTAGACATTTTTTTGAGAAATTGGTAATTTTTACTCCAACTTCTTCAATCATGATAGGATTTTAAAAATGTTATATTTTGATAACAGGGATGTTTAAAAAATAACTTTAGAGTGTCTTTCAGTCTGTCTGTACATAAAAACTATTTCCTGTGATCACTTTTAAAGAACTTTTTCAACAAATTTACTTAAAATAGGAACCTAAGTAAATGGCCAATGGCCCTTCAGAATGTTGCTTGGGCTCTTACCGGTAGGGGACTTATGGATTGCTTGCAATACTATGATAATTGCTTGTAATTAAGTAAAATAGACGGTTCTTTACATTGTTTTGGCCTGAAATCCAGTCAAATAGACTGTCCTTTACATTATATTGGCCTTATAATCCCGTCAGATAGGCCGTCCTTTGCACTATAATAGCCTTATAATCAAGTAAAATAGGCCTTCCTTTACATTATGTTGGCCTAAAATTCAGTCAAGTAGACCGTCCTTTACACTATAATAGCCTTATAATTAAGTAAAATAGACAGTTCTTTACAATGTTTTTGCCTATAAGCCAGTCAAATAGATTGTCCTTTACACTATAATAGCCTATAATCCAGACAAATAGTTTTTTTTTTATATTTGCCTAAAACTAGTATTACTTACATGTATTTACAAAATTTTATTTTTATTCAAGAAAGAAATTTACTTGATTTTTATACATATTTTGCATAATTATGATGTTTAAAAATCTCCCCAGTCTGTCTCAATCGTGTTTTTACCTTTTGAACATTTGTAGAGAATTTATTCAACTACAAAATTATCTTTGTATTGCATGTATATACAATAGAGCATTATACATGTATGGTGTATGACAGTAAAAATAGTCATAAACAAATAACGCCTGTTTTATTAAAATAGATTTTTTTTTTAGAAATAAAATGGTGTATTAAATGTGACAAAAAGTAAAAATATTATTTAATAAAATTTCCTTTTTTTTTTTTTTTCGTAAAAATTCTAGGATTTTTGAAGTTAAAACCGTTTTTCTTTAAATTATCTCCCCCAATTGTAGGTAAATTACCGGTAAGTTAATTTTGTAATTATAAATTTAATATGACCTAGAGATCGAATTAATGATCTACATTTTATAATATATACAATGTATGTACTTTATTTTATTTTACATTAATTTTCTTTCTGTGATATTTTTCTTTTGTATTTTAGTTTTTGTGTATCATTAAAGTGGATTGGTCTACAATGGGGCAAATTTTCCATAAAAATTTCTGATATTGATACAAACAAGAGCAATGTATTATTTGGGTATTTTTATTAAATATTTCTTGGAAAAAAATGTTGAAAGAGTTATAAGTGGTTTAGTATGAACAGTAATATAATGGAAAAATAATAGTTTTTTCTAGAACATTTTATTCTATGCTATAAATAGATATGTGATATTGGATCATGTATCTAACACTGACCAACAATATCTATATACATGTAATATTCTATCCGGTTTGTTGTAATGTATGATACAATATACTCATAATGTATGATACTAAATAAACATAATTATTTATGGTATTACAAATCTTCTATTATGGGCCAATCCACTTTAATTACATATACATGTGTACAATGTAGTTGTGAAATAATATTTTATATATAATTATGATTAGATACATGTATATACATGTATGTGTATTTCAAAGCCAGTAAATTGCATATCACATATACCTGGGAATTATTTCTTCTTTGAAAATGGGAAGAAATCTAAACTTATATAAAATGGATTTTGTTTTGGGAACAAAACAGCATGATTATTTAAAAGGTCCATTAGATCTTACATTTTTGAATTTGTGTAATTGCTATGCCGTTTTTGAATTTCACAAATTTTATTATTGGTTACTTTAATAACAATAATTAAGTAATTCTCTACCTTCTGATCATGGTCAACGTAGTTCCCTTTTCAGTCAGTACATATTTTTGAAGTCCATTTAAGTTATTTAGCGTGGTAATTGAAGATTTAAATTAATGATATAAGAATGTGGAATATGTGATAATTCTTCTGTTATAAAAGGATATATTCTGCAGATTTCCAAAAAAAGAATTGAACATAATAACACGTATATGGTTGTATTAGCCCTAACCTTGTCGATTATGTGGACTCGGGACCGACCATTACTTTTGGGGGAAGGGGGTTGAAGTGAAGCAGACGCTTATAGTGCCTGTCAGACTGTACACATCCGGTTTAAAATTATTTCTCTTTTTTTGGTACAGTAAAATATATTTTTAGTTTTGTTTGTTGTTGTTTTCCTATGATTTCATTTAGAAAATCTACATTCCTTCCATAATATGATATTTACGCATACAATGAAATTATATAGCAATGCCTATATTTTGTTAAAGATTTATCTAACAGTACTTAGTAATTTAGTTGATTACTAATAAAATTGTTATGAAAAAATGTCCTGTGTTTGTTTTTTGTTGTCGCCATTTTAATCAAGTCTGCGTTTTACCCTGTCCGTCTTCTAAGGCTTTGCTTTTACATTATTATTACAAATGATATATGAATTTATTTATTGTTGTTGTTGTTGTTGTTTTAAAAATTTTGTTGAACAAGCAAAGTTTCGGACCACGACTATATTGAAGAACTATTTTTAAAACAAGATGGCGGGTGTGGGAAGTTACTACAAAACAAAAGAACAGCTGTCGAAGAAAGTTAAATCCCCACCTCTTCTAGCAACAGTGCTATCCCCACCTCTTCTAGCAACAGTGCTAGATTAAAAAATCAGGCTCCATGTTGTTGATATTACATGTATATAGTAAATAGGTTCTGAGTCACATATTTTCAAAGAGAAAATGATTCAAGTCCAGCTAGTAAAAGTTAATTTCAGACTCGAAGCTCGCCTAGACACAGAAACATAAAAAAAAATGCCGAACATTACAATCATTTTATCTAATTCAAACAATTTATTAAGTCGGGGATGACTTGCTAAAATGCTTAACACACTGAACAAGATATGTGTTTTTTCTTTCCTCATTAAATTTGGATGCAAGGTCAGTGTAAACGTTTCCTTGTAGTTAAGAAGTCTCGTTCTGGGGTCGGATATTGTTGGATTTTATGTATTATAAACCAAGGTCATATGGCGACTTTCGGGGAAGACATCAGATGCCTCTTAATGCATTGTTTTAGGCACGAGAGAGCGCCCAAGGAGAAACACAGACATTTCGTAAGCTAGATGGATAGCTTCCTTGCATGAAAGAAAGAAGTCCCTGACTGGCTTGAACCCACAGCAGCGAAGGGCAAGCGTTTTATAGTCGGCGACCGAAACCACTCGACCACGTGCACGGAGAACCCTACTAGGTTGCATACCATTATTTCACAAATTTATTTATTCATTTGATTTAGGTTTGTTATTATTATTAATTTGCACCGGGCATTATCAGAAAAAATGTGCGCTAACCTGTAAATTTTATCTCATAAAGTGTCGCTCAGTTATAAATATAATTAGTAAATATTTATTACAGTGGTTTACATTTTTAGTTTTCATTAGAACCAATAGTATAAAATGTCGCAAAGTTATAAATATATGTAATTAGTAATATTTATTACAGTGGTTTACATTTTTAGTTTTCATTAGAACCAATAGTATAAAATGTCGCAAAGTTATAAATATATGTAATTAGTAATATTTATTACAGTGGTTTGCTCAAATGTTTCATAATATTTGAAGTTTTCGTTATCTATGTACACATATTTGTTACCTTCT